GGAACCATCTTACATTGTTGGTGGGAATGTAAAATGGTGCAGGTGCTGTGGAAAATAGTTTGGTGGTTCTTCCAAAAGTTACACATAGAATTACCATATGACCCTGCAATTCTTCTCCTAGGTATATATACCCAAAAGAATTAAAAACAGGTACTCAAATAGCTGTACACAAATGTTCATAGCACAATAATAGTCAAAAGGTACAAACAATCCAAATGTCCATCAACTGATAAATGGATATATAATATAGAGTATGTATATATATATATATACGTTTAGAGTATTAATCATAGGAAGGAATGAAGTACTGATACTTGCCCACGTATGATCACATATTGTGTGATTCCATTTATATGAAGTATCCAGAATGGGTGAATCCATAGAGACAGAAAGCTGATTGATGGTTGCTAGGGTTAAGAGGAAGCGGAATGAGAGTGATTGCTTAATGGGCTCAAGGATTTGTTTTGGGATGATGGAAATGTTTTGAAACTAAATAGAGCTGGTGGTTGTACAACATTGTCAGTTGTACATTGTCAGTGCCACTCAATTGTATATATATTTTTTGTTTTTTAAAAGGGGGAAACTGTTTATTTTGTCTTTTTAAAAAAAATTTTTTTTATTGGAGTAGAGTTGATTTACACTGCTGTGTCAGTTTCTGCTGTACAGCAAAGTGAATCAGCCATATGTATACATTTATCTCCTCTTTTTTGCATTTCCTTCCCATTTAGGTCACCAAAGAGCACAGAGTAGAGTTCCCTGTGCTAATTGTATATTTTTAGATGGCTTATTTTATATTATGTGAATCTCATGTCAATACAAAAAAAAAAGTAAGGGAAAAAGAAAGATTTTTCAGACAAAAGCAGAGATAATTCGTTGCTGACTGACATGCACTACAATAAATGTTAAAGGAACTTCTTCAGGCAAAAGGAAAAGTGTATAAGATGGAAATTTAGACCTGCTTAAAGGAATGAAGACAACTGGAAGTGACAAATATGTGGGTAAATATAAGCCTTTTTTTTTTTTATTTTAAAATGTCTTCAAAAGACAATTGAACTTCCAGTTTCAGCTCTGACATGTAAAGAACTTGGAAATCATCTCTCCTGTCTTCAACAACAGCAAAAATCTGACCAAACTGAAAATCATGGACTATTCTTAGATTAATCTGAGATTTGAGTTCACAGGGCAAACTGCCACTCCCCAAATGGTGACAGGTGAATACATAGAATCACACTCGAGATCTGCTTATTGGGAACAAAAGCTGTTTGAACCGTGAACTGGTAGGAACACTTAAATGGTAATTGATGAATTGCTGCAGGGTGAGTGTGGACTAGCTGAAGAGCTAAAAGCTTTCCAGGGGCTCAGCCTTAGGAAGGCCCCCTGCTTTCATGGGTTTTGACCCCCAGGGCCCACCACATTCTTATGGTGAAGATTGGAGAAAAATTTTTTGTTTTGATACAGGGGAAGTAGAATATAGTTAACACTACTGAACTTTACACATAAAAATGGTTAAGATGGTAAGTTTTATGGGTTTTTTTCCCAAAAACTAATAAGAGTTTTGTGTTTTTTTTTTTAAAGAAATGGGCTATCAAACCATGAAAAGACATGAAGGAACTTAAAATGCATATTGCTAAGTGAAAGAAAGATTACATACTGTATGATTCCAACTGTGTGATGTTCTGGAAAAGGTAAAACTATGAGGACAGTAAAAAGATCAGTAGTTGCCAGGGCTTCAGAGGGAGAGAGGGATGAATAACTGGAGCGTAGGAATTTTAGGGCAGTGAAACTATTCTGAATGATACTGTAATGTGGACACATGTTATTATACACTTGTCAAAACCCATATGCAACACAAAAGATGAACCGTAATGTAAACTGTGGATTTTAACTAATAACAATGTGTTAATATTGGCCCATCTATTGTAACAAATGTACCACACTAACGCAAGATGTTAATAATAGGGGAAAATTGAGGAGAGGGGTATATGGGAACACTCTGTACCTTCTGCTTATTTTTCTTTAAACTTAAAACTACTCTAAAAAATAAAGGCTGTTAACTAAGTGAAAGAAATATACTCATCCCTTTCCAATACCATATAACTCCTAATTAGTAGTATGTATTTTCACAGCAAATAATTACCAAGCAAACTACAGGTATCTATTCTGAATTGCCTACTTCATGTTAAGGGTTTCAGTGAATGACACTGATAGAAACTATGATTCTCTTGTGAACAACCATGTGTTTTTGCTTCTAGTCTTGCCCCCTAAAATACATTAATTGCTTTCTGGCAAAAGACATGAACACCTCAGTTCTCTAACATTCTAAGTATACCCTCACCACAGGGCCTTTGCAATGGCTGTTTCCTATTCATGGGACAATTTCCCCCAGATATGTGCAGGACTCACTTGTTTACTTCCTTTATGTCTTTATTCAAATGACCTTCTCAGTGAGGCCCTCCCAGACCATCTTATTTAAAATTCCAACCCTCTTCCCTACACTAATTTTTTTTCTATAGCACTCATCACTTTTTAATATTAGAAAACCTTTTTATCTTCTGTCTCCCTCAGACATGACATGATTTTTGTATGTTAATTTTGTATCCTGTAACTTTTCTGGAATCATTTGTTACCTCTAACAGATTGATTGGTTGGGGGGGAGTATGTCTTTAGGGTTGTCTGTGTATACGATCATGTTGTCTATGAAAGGAGATAATTTTACTTCTTCCTTTCTAATTTGGGTGCCTTTATTTCTTTTTCTTGCTTAATTGCTGTGGCTAGGACTTCGAATACATTGTTGAATAAAAGTGGTAAGAATGGGCATCCTTGTCTTGTTCCTGATCTTGGAGGTAAAGCTTTCAGCTTTTTACTGTTGAGTATGATGTTAGTTGTGGGCTTGTCATATATGGCCTTTATTATGTTGAGGTACATTCCCTGTGTACCCGCTCTGTTCAGAGTTTTTATCATGAACAGATATTGAATTTTATCAAATGCTTTTTCTGCATCTGTTGAGATGATCATATGATCTTATCCTTAATTTTGTTAATCTGATATATCACATTGATTGATTTGTGGGTGTTGAGCCATCTTTGCATTCCTAGGATAAATCCTACTTGATCATGGTGTTTAATCCTTTTAATGTTTTGTTGAATTTGGTTTGCTGATATTTTCTTGAGGAGTTTTACATCTATGTTCACCATCAATATTGGCCTGTAATTTTCTATTTGTTTTCTTATTGTTGAGTTTTAAGAGTCTTTTGAGATATATTTTGAATACTAGTCATTTAATAGATTTGTGTTTGCAAAGGTTTTTTTCCCAGTTTGTGATTTCATTCTCTTAATGGTGTCTTTCACAGAGCAGACATTTTTAATTTTAATAAACACTAACATCAGTTTTTTTCTTTCATGGATCATGGTTTTGGTGTTGTTTCTAAAAAGTAATTGCAAACCTAAGGTCACCTAGATTTTCTGCTATGTTATCTTCTTGGAGTCAGTTCCTTTTCAGGAAACTGTGCTTGACACTCTATACTTGATTCTCTCTCCCTCTTTTTTTCCTTTGGTATCCAGTTTTTTCACTTCCAATTTTGTTATTCATTTAGCAAGCATCTCTTGGGCAGCAAGTATGTTTCAACTTTATCCTACTAATGGAGTATGTATTCAGAATGTAATTGAATTAAATAAAGTAAGTTCTCCCTTTGGATTGTGCTTTTTTAGTATAAGGGAAAACATTCTCTATCCTGAAAATTCTTTGCAGCATTTATGCTCGAAGACTTGGTCCTCAGAGGAGAGAGGGAACTTGCATTTACTTTGTGCTTCTTTTTTGCCAACATCAGGCTATTGTACTTTATATACTTTATTATTTAATCATGATGGTAGTTGTTGTTTATGACATTATACCTTTGTTTCTGTCATAAATTGATAACCGACTTCGCCTCAAAAATCTGCACCATTTCTTGAAACTTTAGTTCCTCGTAATGGTGTTACGAACTGACAGAATATGTTGCCTAAAGGATCTTTTCCTCAGCCCAGTGGTTCACAGACCAAAAGAAACAAAAAAAGTAACAGCAATAAAGCAAAACCCCTTCTTTAAAGTAAGAAAAAAAAAACACGTATAGGGGAACTGTCTATATTTTTCTGAAGTGAAACTAATTATTTTTGCAGTCAAATTAAATAATAAAAGTAATTTTGACTCTAAGATAATACTTATGTTCAGAATCAGAGTTTTTATTTTTGTAGGGTATCCTGGCCTAAAAACTGTCAATATTGCAAGAGATGTGGGCTTTTGCACAGGTTGCAATTTGATCTTTCAGACAACAGTAATATCCAGGTTCACTGCTTCTACATACATGTTTTGGAAGAATCTTATTTTTAAATTTAATCTTAACCTTGTGCTTTTTGAGAACATAGAGGGACAGAGCCTACTGAATACTTGATTTTGGAAAGCGTTTCCATAAGTTTGCTTTTTTTCTTTTATTTTAGATCTCAGCCTCTTTCCTGTCTCCCTTCTACCTTCTCATCCTTCCTTCTTGCCACCTAAAAATATTTTCTTTATTTTTTTATGGTTAAATTTTAAGTTTTATTACAATTTAGTTGCTTATTTGGGAACTTTAATTTTGTTAACCTAGATATGATTTTCCTGATCACACTCAGGTCTGGTATTTATATTTCATATTTTGTTTTCATTTTTCCACACTGAATGTCTCTGTTTTCCACAGTGAACATAGCTAACATAATCAGCTAGGGGAATGGCTCTTAGGTGGCTCCAGAAGACAGTAGTGGAATAACCTTAGCTTGATAGAGGGTATTCATTCTGCTGCTGTGATGACCTGAGAGTCCTCTTGCCTTTCTGGTGCCATCCTAAAATTGTCACTAGGGCCTTAGAGAAATGGTGGATCATCAAATATTAGTGTTCCTTAACAGAGTAGTATTTTGTAACCGGTTTAAATGCACACTGCTTTAATCCATGTGTCTTTTTTCCCACCAATCCCCCCCCCCCCCCAACCACAGTCACCAGAGAAGAAAGGAAAAGAAGCAAATACTGGTTTTGGTGGGCCAGTTGTTAGTTCTCTGTATCACGAAGAAATCATCAGGTAAATTCTTTTCTGGTCTTCAACAATAGGGTTATATACATATATGTATAGTATGTGTGTGTATGTATACATTGTGTGTGTGTTTATAAATTTATTTATTTAATACCCAAAACTTTCATTTGAAGAACTTTTTCTTAACATGAAACCGATTTGGTGGTATCTCTAGGAGGATAATAAATGGCAGGAAATAAATTTTTATGTGTATCATCTTTAAAATCTGTAAGTATCTGAATCAGTGCCAGGTAATAACCTTTCTCCCGCATAAGTAGTTGGTAGGTCAAGGTTTTGTGTCTCAATCTAAAGCTATGGATTTTTGTTGTTGTTCTCATTAGTTTTCCTCAAAATATCATTATTTCTTTTAAATATTTTAATTTCTGTAGTTTATTCTAGCTACAAGTTAAAATTCATTTCAGCTTTACAAGATGAAAAAGTGCTGGAGACTGGTTGCACAACAATGTGAATATACTTAATGCTACCAAACCGGACACTTAGAGATGGTTAAGATGACAGATTTTATGTATTTTTAACAAAATTAAAAAATTTTTAAAGGTCATTTTGCATTATTTAACAAAGGTCCTTAAATTTTGTATGTTATGTATGAAATTTCTTGGATTATTGTTTTCTTTACACACTGTGTAAATCAGAAAAAGGATTCTATCCTGCTTTAAAGCCACGTGACACATTCTTCTAAGATTGTTACTTTACAAGCAAAAACAAGAAATAGGAACTTCTGATGCTCTTCCCCTTCTGCGTCATCTGAGCTTTACTTTTCTCACTTATTATTAACATGAAATAAATGAGCCCTAATTTTCAAGTGGAAAATTGAGTTCACCTAAATTGAAGGGAAATATCTATCTTCATAGAATGAAGAGGAAATTGTACCAGAATTTTATGCTTCACTCTTGCAAAAGAGTCGCTGACATTATTCACCACATAATTAGTGATAAGAACTCCCAGGTAGCATTCTAGAAGGAAAGCTATTGATACCCCTATGAATCAAAAACTTCAAATGCTCATAGTTTCTACTTAATGACCAGCTAATACTAAGGGCCCTGTCTTGAATCTATTTGCATAGCAAGCACATCATTTTTTACTAAGATTAAATGTCTACTTGGGGTGATATAGTGGAAGACTGATGGAGATTTGAGGGAAATAAAGATACCGTTTAAGAATGCTGCTGGCCTGGAGTACATTTGCCACCCTGATCCCTTGAGGTACCCTGAAAGCTCTGAGAAGCCCATGTAGTTTTGAGGAAGCACAGTTTAAAAAACATTTTCAGAGTTTAACTCCCCCTTCCCCTTAACCCTTATAGAATCAGAACATGTTTGGGGGGTTCTTAATTTGTATATTCTCTACTTAGAGCTTCTAAAAAATGGTGTATTAGAACCGTAACCATATATTTTTTTTTTTTAAAAAGATTTTTTATTTTTATTTATTTATTTTGTGGTACGTGGGCCTCTCACTGTTGCGGCCTCTCCCATCGCAGGGCACAGGCTCTGGACGCGCAGGTTCAACGGCCATCGCTCACGGGCCCAGCCGCTCCGCGGCATGTGGGATCTTCCTGGACCGGGGCACGAACCCGTGTCCCCTGCATGGCAGGTGGACTCTCAACCACTGCGCCACCAGCGAAGCCCCGTAACCATATTAATCAAAGTTTATTAAATGTTCAAATCAAGTCAGTAAACCCTTAGAGTCGTTTTTCTAGGAGGGGAGGTTAGTCATTCCTTCTCTGTGTTCCCATAGTCTTTTTTTTTTTTTTTTTTTTTTTTTTTTTTTTTTT